GAGGCGAGGGGTGTCTACGAGAGCCAGGCTGCCCAGGAGGGCCAGGTGAGCCAGGCTGTTCAAGCAGGAATACTGAAGATGGCCGTATATACAGGCAAATACTTTGTCCATAAAATGTGTCTGTTAAGTCAATGTTCACACCATTAACATAATGTATTTATGTGGTAGGGCTAAGGTCATGCGCCCAAGTTGGCTCTTGGGACTTTTCAACACAACTTCACATTTGGAAATCGGTGTCACTGGTGGGAATGATCTCCATATACACAGTAGTAATCAGGGAAGCCACGTTTAGTTCAACGTTATAATTCAAGGCAAATCACTTAGGTGCCTCTGGCTTACAGGACAGTGTGAATCTGGTCCAGGGAAACACTCCGTTCCAGGGCCCCTCTCAACAACGGAAGAGGCAGGGTGACCCGCAAATGCAACTCTGTAGCTAGGTCACCACCAAGCCTCCCTCCGTCCCCTCCCCTCCCCCATCCAGAATGAATGGTTTTAGGATGATGCTGGCTGAGCAATGGCCTTCAGACCGCGTAATAACAAAGGGTCAAGCGGGAGCTGAGGGGTTACCGCCGACTCCGTGCCCTGCCGCGGGGAGGCGCCTCCTGCTCCCGGGACAGTGCGCTGGTGTCCTCAGCGCTCCCTGCAGGGCCACAGGATGCCCGCCTTGGCATTCCACATGCATGGAGTGGGGCTGGGTCCTAGCCTGCCGTTTGGCAAGCCCTCGGCCAGATGGGGCTCAGTAGTGGCTTCCACAGGTGTTCAATCAGATCCGGAAGGGCACGGGACTCCACGTCTAACTACTCTAACTTAGTGGCGCATTCGGCTACACCCCCCTTGGTCTGCCCTCAGTGCTCACGGTCGTGGGGCAGAGGGGCAAGGACCCGGCCGTGCAGGCCGTTTGTGCTACACACAGTGAGAGGGAGACTCCGCCAGGGTCTGCAGCCTGTCTGTACGTGTGTGTTCACGGCTGTGCCTCTGAGCCGCAGAGTCCGGGCAGCCAATTCTCTGCTGGTCTCTGAAGCCCCTGCACCCCGCCTTCCCCCCAGGAGGCCGGGGAGCCGCTGACAGACGCCAGGGCCGACCACCTGATGGATGCGCCGCGGTGGCCAGGACGCTGGGAGTCTAGCCCTTAACTGTCCTGGTAACTCCGCCCGGTCAGCCCCAGGGTACCGGAGGGCCGATTAGGTCTCACTGGCTCTTCTGGTGTCAGGGAGGGAAGCCCAGCCAGCACTCTCCTGCCTGCAGATGCCAGTGGTGACCAGCACTTCGCTGGAAGGACTCGGGCAGGGAGCGTTCTGGTATGAAGCTGAACCGGATGGGGTTTAAAGGACTCTTTAAAAAGAAACTTGCAAGTCCCTAAATCTTATATGTTAACATGCAAGAAGGTCACCTTTGGGGTTGATGCTCATTTAAACCTTTAATAAACTTCACGGAGACTCTGTGCCTAATTCCCACTATTGGAAGTTAGGAAGCTTGGTCTTTGAGCTCATTTGGTCATGGGTCGGAAACAATGTAATCTCTGGACGTGGCAGGGTGCTTACCCCCCCCCCCTGTGGAGCACACACATCGGCCTCCCAGCTCCGTCCGGCCATGTGTTGAGTTAACCAGCCACCCTACTTTCTTCTCTGCTGGGCAGTGTGCCCGAGCCGTGTGCACTGGACCCAGGTGAGTGGCTTTAAATGCAAACACACGATCCACAAACACGCAAGGAGCTGGAACTTACTGTTTCTTACTCACCAAAAAGGCACAGCATCTGTAAAAGCCCCACCCCCAGCTAGGAATCCCGAGGACGGCGGCTTGCTCGGAGAGCAGCTGAGGCTACCGGACACTGCAGGAGCCGGGGCCAAAGCGGTGGCCTTGGGTCTCAGAAAGGCTCGCATGGAGGTCCTGGTGCCTGTGACGGTCAAGAGGGTGGAGGCCTGCTTCTGGGGACGCACCCCGCTTGTTGGTAACAGAACTCACTGCTGGCTGGTCTGAACGTTATGTCTGTTCTCTCTCACCTGCAGTTCAGGTTTCTGAACGTGTCACACGAGAGCAAGTGTCTGCGATGCTCAGGCAAAGCCACTACGACCGGCCCCGGTTCCTTGGGCAGAAACCCCCCAAGAGCACCGGGTTCTATTTAAAAGAGACTTGGTTAGGACATTTCATTTTTAAATTAAATTTTATTTATTTTTTATTGATTTTGAGAGAGGAAGGGAGAGGGAGAGACACACCGATGTGAGATGGGGACGAAGGTGGCTGCCTCCCGCACGCCCCGTTGGGAGCAGAGGAGACAGGACTGAGCCAGCTACCGCTCAGTGCGCAGACGACCAACAGCCACACCGGCCACAGCAACATTGTTCTGTTTTTTACAGATATCGCCTCGATCATTGGTTCTAGACAAAAACTACAGTTTATGACTTCACAAGTCTCATGAAGTCTCCTTGTTAATCATAAAATGGTATATTTTAATGGGCTAGCAGGACATCAGACTCCTGGCATTTCCAAAGATAAACTGCGACACCACCAAAGGCAGGACTGTATAATTATGTTCTCCCCCAAATGTAACTGATTCTTCTATTGATAAACATGCTCCCTGGCCCTGAGAGAGGCCTCCAGTAGTTGACCAACTTTGTCACATACCAGCATGGCCTCAATGCAGAACAGATCACCACGCAAGGTGTCACTGACGGTGTCCACCAGGATCCAGGGAGCTCAGGCACAGCAACGGCGGGCACGGCAGGGCTCACCTCTGCGGTGTGGACTCGGAACACCCGGTCGTCTGGCTGTGTTCTTGGGCCTGGCCCTCTAGGATGGACCCAGGAGATGATTTATGGTTTCGCTAGTGCAGACTGAGAAGTATTTCTTTAAAAAACAGCCTTGGCCGGTTTTGCTCAGCGGTTAGAGCATCAGCCTGCAGTCCAGAGAGACCCGGGTTCAGTTCCCACTAAGGGCACATACCTTGGTTGTGATTCATCCCCAGCCCTGGTTGGGTCGTGTGGGAAGCAGCCACTCGATGTGTCCCTTTCACGTCAATGTTTCTCTCTCTCTCTCTCTCTCCCTCCCGCCCTACCTGAACAAAAAAATGGAAAAATGTCCTCGTGTGAGGATTAAGAAAAAAACAAAACATATATCCTCTGGTTTCGTCCATGGGTCTGTCTTGGTCAGGAAAGTGCTGGCTCTCATCCAGCCAGATTTTGGTCAGATTCCTTATTTTTCCTGAGCAACACGCCCTTCCCATGTGCTCCGTCGACCCCCAAAGCCCATCTCTCTCTGAGCAGGAAGAGCTGATCTCCAGGCCTTGCCAGGGAACCCGAGAGAAGTTGGGCTTTTACGAAAGGCCAGAAACACTCGTGGAAAACTGCCGGTGACCTGCAGCTGGCCACGCGCTCACGTCCAGGGCTGACCCGGGAACCACAGCAACAGCGGGTCCGCGGGCTCCGCCGACAGCTGCGTGAAGGGTCACCCACCCGCTCCCCCTTCTTCTTCGCCTCATGGGCTCCGCTTCTCTCCCCTGGACGGTCTGCCTTGTCCACTCTGCTGCCAGGGCTGGTCAGCGATGCTGTCCCTCCCAAAGCCTGAGACAGGTGCTGAGCGGCGCAGGGGCGCAGCCTGTCCCGGCCCCCAGAGGCCCGAGCAGCGCTTTTCAAACAGGTCCAGCCGCGCTGCGGCCCTGCTTCAGCGACCCCCTTTGGCTGAAACGACATCCAGACCGCACCGCAGCCCGGGCCCGGTCTCTTCCAACCACCTCCTACCCCCACTTCCCGTCACCAGACATCTGTCTGTCTACAGCCTGGGGCCTCTGACCTCCAGGTGCTTCTACCTGTACACCGTCCCCAGCTTCTCAGCCCTGAGCTCTCCTGGTCTCTGACCCACAGAGGTCCCCCCAGCGGCCTCGTCTCCGTGACCCCCTTTCACAGAGGGAATGGCCCCAGCCGCTGCCTGCAGGTGGCTCTCTAGGTAACAGCAGACTCAGAGCTGCCCGTAGCGACGGCTAGTGTCCCTGTCCCAGAACTAGCTAAGGACGCCATCCCAGATCCCAGGCCGTGTCTGTCTGTCACACACTGGGACACCTTATGTCTGTCTCCCCACGTTGGACTGCGGGCCCCTCAACACCTGGCTGGTCTTTCACACACTGGGACACCTTATGTCTGTCTCCCCACGTTGGACTGCGGGCCCCTCAACGCCTGGCTGGTCTTGTCACCGGCAGCTTCGGCCTCGAGAGCAGGGCCTGGCACAGGGACAGGAGGCAAGGGCGGGCAGGAGAGCCACGGGCCCAATTCACCCCAACTCCCCTTGAAACCGTGTTCACTATGTGCATTTTGGGGTGCACCTGGATTTTCCTGAGGGTAGCCTCAAGAAACAGCCTTCCGAAGCCCGCGTCTCCTGCAGGAACGCTGGTGTTCCCAGCACCGCCTCCTGGGAGCCCCCGCGCAATCCCGAGGTGACTCTGGGACTCTGCCTCGCGGTTCCCGCCCGGCTCCTGCGCCCAGAGGGGAGCTGCGCTGGCGAGGTTCCCCCGCTGGGGCCCAGGCCCGAGTCTGCCTTCTGTCTGACATCTGATCAAAGTTACGCTTTGCCCCTTCCTGGCAATTTTTTGAATCCCTACACTTTCACTGTATGTATTTTCTTGTAAGTGACACCAACTTCTTTGTTGACTACAATGCTAATTTTTAATAAAAGGCAACCTTGGTGAATCACTGACCTTGAGCCTCAGCTTACCAGGCGGGAAACGGGCACTGAACAGTGAACAGCAAGGCTGCTGTCAGGACGAGACGAGGCGCGTGAGGTGCAAGGACGGTGCCTGGCGGCAGCGGGCAGATGCGTCGCTGCACCTGGAGCCCGTCTGACACTGGGCAGCCGAGCAGGACGCGGCCAAGATGCTGAGCGGCGTGAAATGAACGCACATCCGTGAGGCTGCTGACGCATCAGGTCACAAAAATCTACATTCACCCGACAACACCGTGACTTGTGTGGACTCTTCTTTAAACATTTATTAAAAAAGCAACATGTACGTCCATCTCAAAGAGAACAGTAAGACCGGGAAGCAGTTCGAGGGCGTGTCTAGCAGCATCCGGTCGGTAGCGCCCGGCCCGTCTCGGAGCCTGCTGCCGCCGCCCCGTCCTCATCAGAGTGCAGGCCGCACCAACGCTTATAAAATTAACAATTCCAGGTTAAATAAGCTTAAATAAGGGTGTTAAATACAGGACACTTCAAAGCCTCTGTACAGGATGATTTGGTGTAACGGGACCCGCCGGCTGGCGGCACGCGGGAGCTCTGGTCGCTGAGCAGGCTGACTCCTCGCTAAGAGCGTTAACTAGACCCACGCGGACTAAGATCGAAGTGACTACTCAGTGAGCCATTTACAAGGCCTAAGTATCATTTAAAAAAATCAGAACACTGTTAATATTCAGGCACCGTTTGCTCCTGCAAATAAATAAGCCTCTAAAGTAACTGCATTCGAACTAGGTCAGCGTCAAACACCGGGGCTTCCCTTCCACTCGGCTCCTCCGGCTCGCTCGGCCTCTTATTGCTATGATAACGTGGCTGCGGAGGTAAAGCTACTGTACATCCAAAAAAATAGAGCACCTTTACATTAAAGTATACGTCTGGTCATCGCTTCGTGGCTATTTTACAACACTAAAGCCCAAACTACGGCCAACTGCCTCAGCATCTCTAGCAGGTCACCTGACAGACAGGAAGCACACCCTTCACGCCAGACCACTGCTCAGTAGCGCCTAAGAGAAAAGGTCTAAACTGACACCAGGGTTACATTCATCTCGACACGGGAGTTACATTCATCTTCACGCCAGGGTGGCCGCGGAGAGAGCGTGCGGTCCCCTCCTGCCGGGGGCACGGTGCCAGACAGAGCGGACAGCAGGGACTTCACGACTGGCGAAAGTACGGCCAAGACCACGCGCCTGCGCTGCCGGGCTGCAGGCGCTCGGCGGTCCCGGGCGGGCCGGCTAGGGCTTCTTGTCCACGGCGCTGAGGAACCACTCCGTGAAGGTGCGCAGCTGGGCGGCGGCCGTCTGCGACTCCTCCTGCAGCCTCCGGTTGTCCAGCCGCAGGTGCTGCACCTCCGCCTGCAGCGCCGCCTTGTCCTGCTTCTCCTGCGGGCAGACACACGTCACGCACGGCCGGCCTCCCGGCGCCCGGGCCGTCCTGCCCCAAAGGGATGGGTGCCCGAGGGACCACAGCCTCTGCTGGCCCGCTCCCCTCCCGCCAGGCACCAGGCGGCTGCTGTGCAGGAGGGGTGCTGACCCCGGTTCAAATCCCCTCGACCCCGACGGGGCCAGCAGGAGGCTGAAGCACCCCTGGGTGCACGCCGGAGCTGCCCGCCCCTGCCCTGTCCTCAGACGGCCCACGGCCCCACTGTCCCCACAGCTCTCCCGCCACAGGACACCCCAGGGCGACCTCCGAAGGCTGCCGTGGAAACTGCAGAGCTTTCAGGAGAGTCCCATCGGGGTTTCCGCTGCAGTGACAGTTCCCACACGCTCGGGGGGGGGGGGGGGGGGTGTCCTGCCCCAAACAGGGAAGGGTCCTTGTCGGATCATAACAGCTGCTGTTCTCTGATCTAACGTGGCTGCAGGTCAGCCGCCGCCACGGCAGCCATGGGGACAGTGCAGTGGGGACTGGTGGCTGCGGCTGCTCAGGACCCTCCCTCCACCCTGGCAGGTCTGGCACCGCCTTGGCTGCCGGCTCCCGAGCCTGCCCACCTCCCGCGCCGCCTGCCTCACCACTGCCCCCAGTGGCCCGGAGAGGGGGCTCGGCTGGACCTGGCTCCCACAGGACCCTCTCCGGCCTCCCACATCCTCGCCTTCAGGTCACTGCCGGGTCCAAGCCGCTGCCCCTCCCGTCACGGGGACTCTCCTTCCCAGCATGGCTCAGACACCCCAGCGTCCTGCTGTGACTCGGCCGCTCACCTCTCTAAGACCCCTCACGTCCCTTCACTGTGACCCCAAAACCTTCTAAACTCTCAGCCTTGTTCCTGAAAATCCCCTTCATCTCCAGGCTGAATGAACCCTGCTCTCCTGAGGACACCGCTTCCCCAGCGTGCTGTCCCCAGGAGCAGAGGCGTGGAGGCTGGGCTGGAGCACACTTGGCCCTGGCTGCCCGAGCGGCCACCGCCCCTTCGAGCAGCGTGGTGCCAGGCCGAGACCCATCACCCTGCTCACTGCAGTGACCTGTGTCTCCACCATTAGTGGGAGAGTCTAGAATGTGGTTCAACACCCCTCCCCCGGCTCAGTCTGTCCATCTCCTCCTCTCTGTGATCTTGAAGGCCACCCTCCTCCACCCTTGGCCTCACTCCCGTGGCCGCCCGGCCCCTTGCCATTAGGGACAGCTGCCTAGACTCCAGAACGCTCCAGGCTCCCGCTTCCTGGCCACCATCTCCTTTGTTAAAAAAATTATTTCTCCAGTACCCACTCCTCCAACAATCCAATCATGGTCTAATCCACCAGCCTTACCCTGTTTTCACGGTCCATCAACACCCTACAGTGACCCCCTCACCCAGCCTGGGCTCTGGGTCCCACTCCAGGGTCCCCGTCTCTTGCTCCTTGTTTTAACTTCCTGTCTAAACTCCAATACTGGTTCCCTTCCACTCTCCACCCATCTGCACCCACAGCTGGACGCAGGGTGACGGCCGTGCCAGTGTGCCCGGGACGTGCCTGTCGGCACTGGCAGTTCTGTGTCCTGGGAGACAGCTCTCATCCCCGCTGGGGAGAACACCCGACTGCTCACAGGTGTCACTTCGACTTGGGCTGCACGTTCAAACTGCCCTCCAGCCCCAATTGGCAAGCCCACCAATTCCCCAGTCCATGCAGCCTCTACAAACCTCGGCCTCTGTCCTTACACCTCTCACATGTGCACACAGGCACCTGCACACACACACACACATGCGCACGCATACACACAAGTGCCCACACGCACATACACGCATGCACCTGCACGCACACACGCGCGCGCACACACACATGCACACGGGTACCTGCATGCACACACACAAACATGCACCCACATGTGCATACACACATGCACCTGCACACACACACACACGCACATACACACATGCACCTGCACGCACACACATGCATCTGCATGCACCCATGCACACAAACACGCACCCATGTGTGCACACAGGCACCTGCACATGTGTGCACACATGCACACCAACACACACATAAACACAGGCACCTGCACGCACACAAACACACACCCACATGTGCATACACACATGCACGAGCACACTCTGCCCTGGGAACGACAGAGGAGCTGTCCCCACTCTGGTCTGAGGCAGCTCCTCCTGGGCACTGGGTCAGGGCAGCACCGCTCACGTCACCCTCTCTTCCTTCCTTCCTAAGCAGACCATGTCCATCTGCACCCACAGCTGCTGGAATGTACCCTCTCGACAATCCAGACGACCACAAGAAACCCTGCCTGTGACCCCCCCCATCACCCTCCAGCCCCGCCCGTCCGCCCCCAGCGCTATGACACTTGGCAGGTGTCTGCGGAGGTCAGCTCACTTCTGAGGACCGACCACGCAGTGACGTGTGAGCAGGGGTGCCCAGGGTTGTGAGGGGGGCTCGGTGGGGCCTGGCAGCTTGGGGGACCAGGCTTTCTGGCTACAAGTAACCCTCTTAGGTCAGCTCATGGCAGTGGGTGGAACTGGTCCTCACTGAGCCAAACCCCAGCTGCGGAAGGCTGCTCCCTCTGAAGCCCGGCCACCCAGGGCCCCTCACTTAGTCCTGCCCACTCGGCCTCACGTCCCGTGATGACGTCAGCTGCAGGCCAGAAAACAGGAGACCTCAAGAGCCTCCGCTTCTGTGTACTGCTGGGTTTGGGCCAGAACAGCTCCTTTCCCGTCCCTTCACTCTGAGTCCTGGTCGTGAGGGGGACAGTGCACAGAGAGGGTTCTGACCACGAGCGTGACCGCTCGGGGGACTTACCTTCCGAAGGTCGGTCTGCAGCTGCCGCAGGACCAGCTCCAGTTGGTTGACTTTGCCCGTCAGGGTGGATGGCGACTGCTCCCTGGTGAATCAGGACAGGGTGAGGGAGACGCAGGGTTAGGGAGACGCAGCGTCGAGGCCAAGGCAGCTCACGCGGTGTTTCTGCTCGCAAAGCTCACTCTAGAATCACTTCACACGCTTGGAGCCCAGCAGGGAAATCAACCACGCGGCATCAGGACGCAGAGCGGGCACATCACTGCTCTGTGGGAACGCGTCCCCGCCCCGCCCCCGCCCCGACCTGACTGGGTTCAGAACCTCCCTAGGCACATCCGTTGTAAGAAAATGAAAGACAAGTTCTCCTCCATGAACGCGTGGAGACTAGACAGACCTGAGCGACTCCTGGGATTCAAATGCCTTCCTCTGTCACTCCAGGGTGACCATACAAGGTAACGGTCACTCAAGTTCGTATAAGAGTTGGAATTAGGAACGAAAGGTAAAGAATATATAGTCCGTGGGCGATAAGCACATCAAGAACACGGGAGGAGGTGGCTCATTCTCGACACACCTCAGCGGAAGGTGAGCAGCGGGCCAAGGACGGGCCCTGGGAGGAGGCGTGTCCTGGGCGGTCAGCACGCTCGGCCTAGCAGGCGGGCTTGTCAGTGAGGCGCCCTGTCCGCGCCGCCATAGTCCTCAGGGGGCAGATGCGGGTTCGGGCCCACACCCTCCCTCTCTGCAGGGAGCCTCACCATGGGCATGAGCAGCACATCTTTGTGGGCAACCCACCCCCGGAGCAGAGCAGGAGTGGGTGGGTCCTGACGGACCGGGGACGGCACCCGGGACAGCGGTCTCTGGCTGCCCCGGGTCCTGACGGACTGGGGACGGCACCCAGGACAGCGGTCTCTGGCTGCCCCGGGTCCTGAAGGCCTGGGGACGGCACCCGGGACAGTGGTCTCTGGCTGCCCCGGGTCCTGAAGGCCTGGGGACGGCACCCGGGACAGTGGTCTCTGGCTGCCCCGGGTCCTGACGGACTGGGGACGGCACCCGGGACAGTGGTCTCTGGCTGCCCCGGGTCCTGAAGGCCTGGGGACGGCACCCGGGACAGTGGTCTCTGGCTGCCCCGGGTCCTGACGGACTGGGGATGGCACCCGGGACAGTGGTCTCTGGCTGCCCCGGGTCCTGAAGGCCTGGGGACGGCACCCGGGACAGTGGTCTCTGGCTGCCCCGGGTCCTGACGGACCGGGGACGGCACCCGGGACAGTGGTCTCTGGCTGCCCCGGGTCCTGAAGGCCTGGGGACGGCACCCGGGACAGTGGTCTCTGGCTGCCCCGGGTCCTGAAGGCCTGGGGACGGCACCCGGGACAGTGGTCTCTGGCTGCCCCGGGTCCTGAAGGCCTGGGGACGGCACCCGGGACAGTGGTCTCTGGCTGCCCCGGGTCCTGACGGACCGGGGACGGCACCCGGGACAGTGGTCCCTGGCTGACCGCAGTTAGCTGATCCTTGCTAATCGCGGGGCCTGGGACAGTGGAGGCAGGCCCACAGGGCTCACATACCCAGCTGTGTCCATGAACTCTTTGCCGCCTGGGTCGACGCACAGAGGCAGCTCCTGGGCCCCTTCCAGGCCCTGTCTGTGCTGCACATCTGTCAGGGTGCAGAAGGGCGCCCCTCTCTGGTCTGGGGAGGAAGACACACAGAAGGGAGGGTTAGGAACAGCTCCAAGGTGACTGTTTTTTGTGGAAATGAACTTGCTAATTAAATGCCCCCCACCCCCCAGTCATTTCACAAAACAAGGGAAACAAGCTCAGGCAAGCTGCCGACAGCCAGAAAGCGCTTCAACTGGGTCCTTCGGGCTGTATGGGCACATGTGTGTCCCGGCCACTGGGTGGTCGCAGACACCAGCCGTGCCACAGCCAGTGGGCCTTCTGCTCTCCACACCCCAACTCATGCCCACGCGGCCAGTGGCACATGAACTCAGGGCACTGGGCGACGACTTGGCTGATGAGCAGAACCAAGGAGACCTCTCCTCAAGCCCTTCAAACCCGGAGAACACCCTGAGACGCAGTGGCCAGGACACATCTCCCCTGGGCAAGCCCGACCCCCGAGCTCGAACACCATGCAGACGTGCAGACACACGGAACACAGAGAGGGCACAGACTACCCAGCCGCGCCGTCGGCCCAGGCAATCACCTAGGTAGGACGTGTGGTGGCAGAGCAGACCGAGTTCCTCGTCTGAGTCAAGACCTGAAATAAGATTCAGAGTTCTCCTGTGAACAGGAGTGTCTGTGCACGCTGAGCGCCTCGGGCCCACGAGGTTCCAGGAAGGGTCCTGTGAAATGCAGCTGTGTGCACGTGTGTGCATGCACGTACATGTCTGCGTGTACGTGTTCTGCTATACCAGGCAGGAGTAGCCGGAGAGCCAGCACTGTGTAATGTCAAACATCATGGTCAGATTATGCATGTCCTGTGACAGCCCTGGCTGGATGCACGGCTCTTGGGGACAACAGTGCAACAGTAAGACTCTAGGACATGTGGGTTTGCTTAAATGACCCTCTCCATGAGCACTGACAGTGGCGGGGACAGGTTAGCTGCGTCACCTCACTGGAAACCCGCAGAGGAAGAGTGAGGGCCGCAGTGACCATGACCGGTGTGCCCACCCTGTTTTATCCCTTCTATTCTCGACACCAGAAACTTCAGTTAGTGATCAGGCGCTGAACAGGGCCGGGAATGCATATTCTAAACTGGCGCCAGACTGGCCCAGCTCCGGGGGCTGAACGCTGGTCCAGAATGCTGACTGGCATGCAGAAAAGGTCCTGCTTTTCACCAAGGTGGAGGAGAGCGAGGACTTTGCTAGTTCCCCCCCACACACTCCCCGGAGTCCCTGTCCTCGGTGTCTGAGCCCCATATGCCTCCACCGCTGGCATCGAGGGGCAGCATGTGGACGAGTGCGGCAGCATCTTCTTCGTGTGACCTAATTAATGGCTGAGAAACTGCACTGGGGTCCCTGTCAGCGGGGCTCTGCTCTTAATTTACCCCACGTCTCCCTCTGGCTCCTGGACATGTCTTCTAATGAGGCTACCTGCTTGTCTGGCTATGGAGGGCCACGCACTTCCTGCTAATTAGGAAGGATGGCGATGCGGAGGCTGCCCAGAGCGCAGAAGGGCAGTCAGGCTGCGAGGGGCACCCGGCTGGGAGGGCCCCACAGAGGCCGGGCCTCCTGGGACTTGCGCTGGGGGCACGCGGAGTGCCGGTCGCACAGGAATGCTCCAGCCTCGCGCCCCGCGTTGCGGCACGCACCTGGGGCAGGCACGCAGAGGCCCTTCAGCTAACACTGCCGTGAGGCTGACGGACGCCCTCCACACTGCACAGCTACAGGATGACAGACCGTCTGAACTACATCCCGAGACCATCGCTTCCCAGTTGGCTTTTGCACAAGGTGAAATAACGTGTCACTGAATTAACATTAATGGCATAATTTGGGTACTGCCTACTTCTACCCGGGACAGGAAGTGATGCCGAGGTGGGGGCAGGAATGGCGGGCGTCCTGGCTGGGGGTGAGCAGCTCTAGAGAGGGGTGAGCAGGGTCTGAGCTGCCGTCATGTCCAAGGTTACCCTCTGCTCTGCAACGGCCCCAAGGGAACACCTCACACTTAAAAACAATCAACAGCAGATGTATTTTTATTCCACAGTGAATTTAACTACTTACTTTTAAGAAGAGTTCCACTGACTCATCCGTATTTAATGCAACCCAGTGATAATTCCCTTAGCTCCTGTCCTCCTAATACAGTTGAGTCTGGTGGTCCATTCCAAATATCTGAATAAAAATGCCTTACCTTATTCCATCTATTTTTACCTTAACTTATAAAATACCCACATATTTAACAGAACTTGCTACTGGCGGCCATTCAAGCATCTCTCAGGGAGAGACAGGGTCCAACTGGTGAAGAGGCAAGAGACCAAGGACAGAGTTTAGCCAGCAGAGTAATTCACAAGGAGGATCTACGTGGGGTCTGAAAAGCCTGGGAGGCGCAAAGGCAACGTGACCTGAGTGGGAGCAGGCACGGACGGCTCGGCGACACCCTCATCTAGCGGCAGCTTCCCGGGAAGCCCCGTCTTCCACAGCTCGTTTCTGCGAAGGTGAACGTTCAGTAACTAAGTGATTACTGACACGGCACCAAACGGCACAGCAAAGCTGTGAGAAGAGGCGTGGGCAGATGAAGTCACGCCGACAGTCAGCACGGCAGCGACAGCCACCCACACCCACACGTGTCCACTCTCTCCCGTGCGCACCGTCTGGCTAAGCGGGCGGCAGGCATGGCTCACATACAAACAATCAATCCCTTTAAATAACTTTTTAAAGAACGTATTTTGATGTCAGTTTTTTATTTGAGAGCATTTAGCACTAAAAGAGGATGAGCAGTCAACAGGAAATTCCGTATCCATCTGGAGTTGGCATGGCAAAGCAGTTGCCTGCGAACGGTTCCCAGGAGCCCGGCCGGGCCGCAGAGGGCACACCGCGCGGCGGGGCCCGGGCCAGCGGGACGAGCTCTGACAGCTGCTTGTGCGTGCCAGGGCGTGGGACGGGCACACAGTCCTGCGCCATCCAGGCCATGCCAGCAAGAGGCTCCGCTGAACTAAACCCATCTCCACACACAAAGCTGTTCTGATCCGTCTCTGCCTTCAGGACACAGGAGGTTCTGACTGGCAGCCCGCCCATCAACCCAGAGAACTGACGGCCGACTGCCAGGAAAGGGAAAAGGTCGCCCTGCACTTTGAACGTAACCACTCTGGTTCGGCCTTCTGCCGCTGCTGATCGTAGAAGAGTGGTCGAGAAACTGCCTCTGAGCAATAAACAAGAAAAGCTCTAGAATCATTCTTCAATGAACACATAACCATCGTTCTTGACTTGAAACAACTTTTTTTACTTTTGAGACAACTTACTATATTAACTTTGCATTTTCCATCTAAGTAGCTCATTCCTATTTTTTAAACTATTATTATTACCTTAGAAGTTACAGTGTCAGATTTTTATGCTTGTGTACACACACACACACACACACACACACTCACATAGTGACCTTATCAGTCGTTAAATATCAGGAACTTTAAAAACCTTATTAACTTTAGGTTGAAGGTTCAGAAGTAAAAAATATTTATGCCTATTATGCTCTAAAAAACCAAGGGCATGGAGAACATTATCAATGAAAAGTACAGACGTCTACTTTCCAGAAGATGCGCTGATGTGGAATGCCGACCCCGATGAAGGAGTGTGAACTCTGCACACCGCGGGGACATGGCGCTGCCGGCCGAGGGCGGGGAGCTGATGTCACAGAGGGCAGGCCTGGTGCCTGGGGGACCTGAGGTCCAGTCTCCTCACCAGTTTGTAATTTCACCTTTTAAGCCTGTTTTCATGCAAAACAACATCATCCCTTCAACAGATGCTCGAGAGCCCACCGACTGCCTGCTTCTGAAGTGAATGAGAACTGCCGCAGGCCCTAGAAACTTCCGAGAGGCCCCACTTCCCTGGCCTGCTTCGCCGCTGGCCCCACAGGCGCTGAGCAGGGCACGCTGGACTCCCCTGCGCCTCAGACCTCTGAGGGCGGGCTCAACCTTTGGACAGCAGGTTCTTTGGTAGTTGGGTTATCTATCTATTCCCTTATTCAGAGTTTAATAATGCTGTGCAGTATTTCTCTATTGGGAGCTCTCTTTTTTCTTCTTTTGCATAATTTGCAGTGAGCAAGTTTTCAGGAATTAATTAGGTTTCTGGTCAAAGGGTGGGTACATTTTTTGGCTCTAGCTACATATCGTCATATTGCTTGAACAAAAAACATGAATCATTCTATAATCTCTATAATGATACCAGCTGTGAGTATTCTTCATAGCTTCCCAGAGCTGTTGAATCACTTTTCATATTCAGATGTGTGAGCCGGTAGCTTATTACCGTTGAAATTTACACTTGTGATTGAACGTTTCCAAGGACTTCTTTATGGCGTGACTCTTCCTCTGTGCTCCGTCATCCACGCCCTGACCACGGTTCTCTAGGGCCTTTGGTGCTTTTTCCTGGTTAAGTTCCTTGGTTCACCTGAGACAGCCTGGTTTTACCTACCACATTTGTTACCACTCTGTCCCCACACTCTCATAGTTCCCTTTTTATTTTAATGTTCTTGTTCAGGTTCACAAAATCTGGATATGTAAATACTTTTACTTGGCTGTGTAACATTTTGTCTGTTCTCTCAATGTTCCCTAACCAAAGCATCGCCAGCCTCCCCAAAGGGTCATCTTCCTTTCTCTACTTTGTCTAGAACTGACTTTTCCAATTGCTAAATCCAATGACAGCATATAAACTGCTTTCCCATTTGGTCAGGGCTCTTCATTTTTCTTCAGAAAGACCCATATACATTTTTGAATCATTATTATGCTGTCTTAATTATTAGTATTGATTTAGAATAGACTTGTTTGAATATTGTTCATCTACTTTCCAAATGGATGCAATTAAGTTCTTCAACATATTAGATATCAATTAGATATCTGAATTGAAATTGTATTAAATCTACTAATTAACTCAGGAAGGGCTGTCATCTTTTCTAAGCTTCCTAGCCATTCCCATTCTTACATATATTAGGGCTTTTCAGTTATTGAAGTGTTCCTTTGATGGCTCAGTTCTCAGGGGATCCATAACACAAGATGTCCTTCATTACTGCCACAGCGGAACACTGTGTGCACACGCCACCCCGCCAGCCTGGAACCCGGCCTGGCCTCGTGACCTGCTTTGCCCAGTGGCACGTGCTAGATATGATGTCCAAATTATATCTTGAGCGGCGACGTGGTTTCTGCCTTTGCTATCCTGGTTCTTGAAGCCCCAGAGAAGAAGTGCAATCACCCACTGGAGGCAGCAATCCAGCCAGACCCGCCATCCGGACACAGACACACGTGCAGCTGCCTCCATGCCTCAGCCCCAGCTGAGCTCCAGCTGAGCACAGCTGCACGAGTCACCCCCCGTGGATGCTGCAGAGAGCAGAAGAACCACATGGCAGAGCCTGCCCAACCCAGAGTCCCCAGACTTAATAAACCGTTGTTTTCAGCCAACCATTTGCCTTGAAATGATGTTTATAAAATTATGAAATATATTTTAAAATATCTTACCTAGTTACTTTATTTTATAATCTCTAATAACTTCCTTCTGATCTTTCCTATTTTCTAGATATAGAAACATATCCATAAATATTTATTTACTTCTAAAATTT